GGAATGACTTACTGCAAATGATGATCATTTTGAAGGGGATAATGTCTTTTAATAGCAGGCAGAATTTATCCAAGCCTTTTTTTTTTTTTTTTTTTCCAGTCTGCTCTGCTCAGAGCCCTTGGTGGGTCCAGGACCCCTGAGAGGCAGATGCCAAGCCTTATCCAAGCCTTTTTAATAGTGCACTGTCCTGTGCCATGGGAAGCAGATTATCCTAGGAAGGGGAGATTAGGAAGGGGGGAGGCTGTAAAGAGAAAGGGTACAAAGAGAAAGTGTTTGGGAAGGACTTTTCCTCCCAGAGATCCCCCAGGGAGCTGGAGGAGAAACATCAGCAGAGGCCCTTGGTGCCCCGAAGCAAGAGGGAGAGAGTGGAATCAAGCAGGTAGTGTCACATTATACTCATTCAATCAGATAAGGCCTCCCCCTGAAGTAAATTACGGTTCCAGGGCAAGCTGTGGAGCCTGGGTTATGACTCATCTGTAACAAAGTCTCTCCACTGGTAGGAGGCATTTTATATTCCCGTGGCCACGCCAGAAAAGAGCAGAGGAGGAGCCACAGAAGCAGAATTGGACTGGGAGCTTAGAGAACTGGGCCCAAATCTGGCTCTGGCTCAAAACTGTTCTGTCTCATATACCATCTTCCCGCTCCTTTCGTTCTTCCGTCGGCCCACCATGTCCCAGCTGCCTAGTGGTCACCAGCTATGTACAGGCTCAGACAGCCACATATACTGAGCATTGACTATGTGCCTGAGCTACGTGCTCTCACTGTATATTGTCTCTAAATGTCACAACTTTGTTGAGTGATATTACCAGTCCCATTTTACTTATTTAGATAAAATTCACCCATTTAAAGTGTGAATTCACTGGGTTTTAGTATACTCACAAAGTTGTCCAACCATCACCACTGTCTAAATCCAGAACATTTTTATTCCCCCAAAAGAAACCCCATACCCGTTAGCAGTCATGCCTCATTTTCCTCTCTCCCATCCCCTGGCAGTCACTAACTGACCTTCTACCTTTGTGAATATGACTATTTTGGACACTTTGTAAGGTGGAATCATACAGTATGTGGCATTGTGTGTATTACTCCCATTTCATATATGAAGAAATCAAGACTCAAACAGGTTAACTAACTTGCCCTGAGTCACACAGTAAGAGGCTGAACTAGTACAAGAACACGGGGCTGACCTACATGCTTGTACCTGCTTTTGGCCACCATATGCTGCGTCCATAGAGGAAGAAAATTGAGAGAGTAAGTCACAGTTTTAGATATACTTGGAGAAATGGGGTTTTGTTAATCTAAGGTAACAGAAGTGATAAATAAGAACCACAATTAAGCACCACATCTGCTGAGCTTATAGTGAAATGCTGAAACAGCTCAGAAACAGCTATGGCAGAAAGCACACCCACCCCAGGCTGTCATTTCACCCACAACCCCAACTTCTCCCCACCGCACAGCCCCATGAAGATGGCAGCTATATGAAACCAGGCTGTAAAGAATCTCCCCTCTCCCCATTTTGTGTCCCTTTCCCAGATATCACTCTGCCACCTAAACCTCATTATCCACATAAATTTCTATCTAAGAGGTCCAAGAAAAACATCTACTTTAAATAGGTGCACCAGGGCTTCTCCTCTTCTTAACTCTAGCAACCAGCTTACACTTGGTATAAAAGAAAATGGGGAAGAGTGTTGGAGGAACTAAGCTGTTAGCTGACCAAAGGCACAGAGCTATAAAAACCGAAGAATATAACTCACATAAAATGCCTATCAGCTAGCCATACCTTAGCTTCCCGCCATTTTTTCCGCTCTGTGTGTTGCATAGGTACACAGCTGAGATGAGATCACACCTTTCTAGGGGACCAAGTTCAGGTCTTCCTAGTTCTTTTCATCCCTCACCCAATGTATAAACAAACAGGTGTGCTGTAATGATGATGTGATTATAATTTGTTTCTTTCTTAGGAGAAAACTATAGGCGGGACTGACCTCCACTAACCCAAGGCCAAGGTCAGTGTCTTTACTTGATGCTTTATTCTCCAAACTAAGCTCAAACGTTTACTGAATAACAATAGCTAACCCTTACACAGCACCTTACCAGGCACTGTTCTAAGCATGTATGTTATCTCCCAACAACCCATTTCCATAAGAGGGAACTGTGGCGCAGGGCAGTTATGGAGCCTGGGTGATGAGCCCAAGGTCATTCAGTCATTAAGGAGCGGTACCAAGATTGAAGGAATGCAGCCAAGACTAGAGCATTCCAACGAGACACATCTGAGTCATTCCAGTTCCTTAAAATTGAGAGGCTTATGATACATTGCAATACCTAAGAACTCTACTGGATCAAACAACAAATACTTTTCCTTTCTGCCTATCTTTGTTGCTTTCACTGCCTTTTTCATGCTCCATTCGGCCTTCAGAAGTACTCAAAGCCTTTTGTCGCAGTACTTGTGAACCCTCTAACAGGAGCTCTCATCCCTATCGTTTAAGTGAAAAGAAGGTCAATGATTTGGGCAGCAGGAGGTGAATCAGGAAATTTCACTTATAATTCAGTTTTCTCTGTACAGGTCAAGCTACTCTCATCTTCATGTTCTATCTACATTTTAACTTATAAAACATATACAATATATACTCCCTACACTGCCCCCAGTGAATACAAAACTGTCAAAATTAAAAAGCATTATTTAGAGTCCATCCCATCTCCTCTGTGGTTAAAAGTGAAGTAATAAAAACCTTGAGTTCATCCATGATCTTCAAGATTGCTCAAATTTCATGCTACATCCATCCCAGAAGCACACTTCCATTCTGAAATGACGGTTAAAACCTGGTAGAGTTTTGGTGGGTTACGAATTGAACGTTCCTTCCCTTAACAGGCCAACCTTCTATTAATCGATCAGAAAACAACATTCACTCAAGAAAAGGGTCTCTGAATGAACTTGACCTTTTAAAGAGAGCCTGTAAAAGGAGACAACAGCCCTAGTTGTCTTTCTACTTTCTAACACAATTACCTAAACAGCTGAGACCCTGGCACCCCCAAAATATACACAGTTAAGTGCTACCTCACTAATTTTCACCTTCAAAGATAAAACTCTCCACACTGAAAGGAATGGAAGCATTTTATGGAACAAAATCAAACTGCTTAATATTGTATGTCAACAATATTTCTATTATAAATACACAAGTATATAAATAACATAGCTCCCAGTCCTGTCATCTGCACTCTACCCTGGTTTTTATATCAGATGGAAGGACTCCAGAGGGTAAAGAGAGTTAAATACAGCATGCAAAGATTAGTTTATGGTGCGGTCAACTAGAAAAGCCAATGAGGCAAAATACAAAGGTACATTTGTATTTCTTAAGTTGGCTTTTAAAGAATAAGAACAAGAAAACCTAGATCTCTTTGGGGGTCAGTCTACTCTCTGATTTTTTTTCAGTAGTAATCCTAAAATAAACAGTTGTTATAAAATATATCAGCAATAGAAGGTTTTTCTAGATAAGCTATCAGGAAAACTTGTGAGTAGGGAAAGCGTCTGGGGAGCATTGCTAAGTCAGGGTGAAAGTACACATTCTGGTGATCACCTCTGACAGTATGAGCCCTTCTCACCTTGTTTTTGGACAGCCTCACAGGAAGCAGTCCCCTCTACAGGTCCATTATCAGAACAGCAAATTTCTGAGCATAAGATGTCAAAACCAGAACTTCAGAAAAGCTAGTCACTTATCCCATGAGGTAAAATAAAAGCTTTTTTGTTTACATCCAGGCCAACTGAATGGAATAGTACCATTTAGGACTGTATCAGAATCTCACTATCTTGTTTTTGTCACCATTTCTGGGGTCTCAGACAAATTTAGGATCTTAAATACACAACTTTGGAAATAGACGACCTAACACACAAACTCTGAATTCAGAGTTTAACAACTCATGCCCTTCAAAGCTTCATATTCCAGTTTGCTATCCGCCTCCAAATTTCTGTTTCTGAAAGTCGCTTGCAGACCACTTACTTGCATGAGAACCCCAGGGACTTTTTATGTTTAGGTTCTTAGGATCCACCCACTAGACCTGTGGCAGAGAGCCTGAGACTTTTTAAAAACCGTAATTTGATTTGAATACACACTTAAGTCTGAGAATCAGTAAATCAAACCCACTGACTTCTTTTCTATATTGCTCCCAAGATACGTGGATGTCAGTCCTTCTCTCCTCCACCTAAGTTATTCCCTAACTAGTAGTTAGCAAACCCACCCGATTCCCACCAAAAACAGTTTAAGAGGAAGCAAGAAATTTGCAACGACCCAAGATCCTGAACGACCTCTAACAGTGCTTCTGGACCTCTAACACATCCCAGAGAGAATCCAGTGAAGAAGTCTCAGGATCAAAAACGATCCCTTCCCTCTCTTACTTCTTCACTGGAAGGCAACACCTCTGGCGATTCCCTGGCTCCCACCGGTATCATTTCCTTTAGCGACACCGGCTCCATTCAGAGCGCATTCCTTATTCACACAGCTGCCTCACGATCGGTGTAAAAGCCTTTCACACACATGATCAAACGCGCACACAGGCGGCCCACTACAGCTCCCCGGCCTCCTTAGGCTCCTCCAACCCTAAACGGTGGCTCGGACGCACAACTGCCAAGCTCCCTAACTCAGAGCAACGCTCCCTCCCCTTCAGGTCAATAACCTCCTTCAGGTCAATAACCTCCCTCTGGAAGCACCGGGCCCTCCCCGCTCCCGCGCGAGCACAGTCGGGCGCCCTGGATCCTGCCCCTGGAACCCCCGCCTCGGCGCGCCCCTTGCCCCCAGGTCCCCGCGCCCGGGCCTCGGCTCCCTCCCCTCCCCCCAGCCAGAGGGATGTCCGCCCACAGCATCTCGGATCCGGCCGGCCCAGGCCCAGGGGCCCTGCCGCGCGGCCCATCTCCCACTTTCCGCCTCCCCGGGGTTGTTTTGCAGGGCCAGGGCTGCGGTCCGCCCTCCGGCGGGCTTCTCCAGCCCTCTCTCCCTCGCGGCCGCCGTCCTCACCCGCGTGCAGCCCGGTCTCGGCGACATCGCCGGCAGGGCCGCGCTCGGCGCCGCCGCCGCCGCCCGTGGGGGCGGAGTGACGACTGTGGTGGTGGGCGCACTTGATGTCGCGGAAGAACTTCTGGGTTTCGCGCAGGTTCTGCTTCAAGCGGCCCAGGTAGCGGCGGTAGCGCCCCAAGCTCCGGCACAGCTCGCGGATCATTCCGCCGCCTCCCGGCCCGGGCTCGCTCCCCCACGGCACGCCGTCGCCCTCCATCTCCTCAGCCTGCTCAGTCGTCGCGGCTGGGTCCCCGGCCCGCTGGCCCAGCTTCCCTCCTCCCCGCCCCACAGAGCTGAAGGGAGGAGGGACCCGCCTCCGGTCGCCCCCTCCAGCAGTCGGCCGGGCTCCCACTCTCCGTCACCGTCGCTGAAAACAAACCAACGCGCAGTGCGCCGCGGGCGGAACCTTTCTCTCACTCTCCAGAAGAGTGAGGGAAGGATTACTGCAGCGCGCCGTTACCGCGGGGTCTCCTGGGACCTGTAGGCTGGGCCGAGCTCCAAAACCCGGAGTCTGGTTGGGATTGATCCCCTTTTGGTATAAACCTCACCCATTCTTGTGCTTACACACTCTCCTCATTTAAAAAGATGTTCCTGCTCTCTGCGAAAGTGTCCCTGAGGAGAGAGAGGAACTGCAGGATCCGGACGCCCGCAGAAGTGGCGTGCCTTACTGAAATCAGAGCGAAAGATTTTAATAGCAAAGAAAAGGAAGGAAACAAGAGGCCAGTAATATCTCCATGGCTACCCTAAATGGCTCTCCCTTTCCGGAGGCAGTAGATACAGGGGAACCAGCTGAAAAGACCCTGGAAATTAAAAACCCCTCATGTTTGTATCGTGTCCTCCTTTTCTGACTTTTGTTCTCCGGTTGTGGATAAAGGGATTGTGAAAGGGTCAGTCAGGAGTTTTAACTGAAGTTCAGTTGATTTCTTGAATTAGAGAGACCAAACCGGTTAAGGGGAAGTTGAGGTTTGTAGCCTTGCAAATCAGCTATGATTATCTCAGCGTGGCTCTTGCAAATGTAGAAGACTTTTTGACACAAACTGTCACAGAGCCCTGGACACAATTACAAAGGAGACAAAACTTAACAACTACCTCTTTTTAGCCTCCTGCTTTTTCCTCCCCTCTTCTCCAGACACAGAGCCCTCCTGTCTCTTACTGTGGAAAGACCTCATCTTTCACCCAGGCCAAACCTCTTCTCCGACAGGCTAGATGGTGTAGTTCCAGCTGAATTTTTAAGAGGAGACTTGAATTTGAGGCTGAACTCATTTTATAAAAAGGGGCTACTAATCCACTTGAATCTCTACTTGGATGTGTGTAAGGAGGTAGAGACGTAAAGAGAAAGCCTCAAGCGCCTTCTCACTCCTTTTACTTGTTCACATATTCTCCACTGGCCACTCCTCATTTTTGCAAGACCCCCATGCAGATCCTAAAAGCCTCAGTAAACAAAACGAAAATATTAAAGTTTAATGCAAGACGGTTGATACTATTTTTAAAAAGAAGCAACACTATCAAAGCAATGTGTGATGATTTGCCACACACAGTAATTTCTAGCAAAGGGTATCAGATGGAAATGCCTAGAAGAAACTGGAAATTAATATCTTGAGGAAAAAGTAAACTTTGCATTGTTGGAAATAATGGGGGGCATTACGTCAGGTAAAAGTCACAGAGCTCATCCTTTAAAAAACCATTCTTTAGTACTTTATTTTTTAAATAAGTAATATAAGATTGTGGTATAAAAGACAAATAATGCAGACGGTATGCATGAGAAAACCAAGTCTTCCTTCTTCTCCCTGTCAGTCACCTAGTTCCCCTCCCAGGAGGTAACCACTGTTGCAGATATAGATAATGTTTTTTTAGACACAAATGATAGCATACTAGACTTATGCTATTCTGCCCTTACAGACTCTTCCACACTAGAACATAAAGGTACAACTCATTCTTTTTAACTGTTTATGTATTACCATATGGGTTAGCATGTTTTAACAAGTCCTCTGTTGATAGACCTTTAGGTTTTTTGGCCGTCTTTTGATATTATATACAATGCTGCAGCAACTAACCTTATACATGGGTAATTTTCTAAATTGAAATAGTGTTGACATAATATTATGTTAGTTTCAGGTGTACAACATAGTGATTTGAGATTTATGAACATTACCAAATGCCCACCATGAAAAGTGTAGTTACCATCTATCAGCATACTAAGTTATTACAATATTGACACTATTCCCCATGCTATACCTTTCATCCCTGTGATGAATTTATTTTATAATTGGATGCTTGTAACTCTGTCCCCTTCACTTATTTTGCTTGTCCCCCCACCTGCTCTAAATACATCATTAAAAAATTTTAATATATGTATTAAATGCATCCCCATTTTTGATCTGCTGGAAAATAATCATTTGTTTCCTGCTATTTAAAATCTTAAGGGGTGTTAAAAAAAATCTTAAGGGGTGTTAGTGACAGTGAACTCTTCCTAAATCATAATCACATACAAGTAAAAATACCTATTTTTTTAAATGTCTAATTGCAAGGACAAATGGGGGAGAATAAGGGTTTTAATGGTAACAAGAAAAGATTTAACTTAATATAGGAAAGTGTTTCCTGAAAGTGATAAGAGTAAGCAGTTAATGAAGGTGAACATACAGATCTACTTTTGTTCCTGTCTAGAAACCAGAAAAATAACAGTCACAGGTTTTTTTAAATTAAGGTATCATTGATATACAATCTTATGAAGGTTTCACATGTGCAACATTGTGGTTACTACATTCATCCATGTTATCAAGTCCCCCCCACCCCATTGCCGTCACTGTCCATCAGCACAGTGAGATGCTATAGAGTCATTACTTGTCTTCTCCATGCTATACTGCCTTTCCCGTGACCCACCTATAGTATGTAGACAGTCACAGGATTTTTACAGGCATAAACCCACAACAAAAGAGAGGAGCCAGTAGCAAAAAAAAAAAAAAAAAGAGGAAGAAGAAGCTGGAGAACAGACAGACAAGTATTAATTTAAAGTTACCAACCTGGAGAAACCTGAAACCTGAATCCTGTATCCTGAATCCAAAGTGGGAAAAGCTGAGACCCAACGTGATTTATACGGCAGAATCCCTCAAGTCTTGGCTCCCCTCACTGCCTGCTGAGGAGGTATAGGAGAGCAGGGCTGCCAGGTACAGGTTATACCTTTGGCAGGATTAAAACGAGCATTCTGAAAGCCGTTGAAGAGCAGTTAGATCCCCAGGTCACTTCTCCTTCTTCAGCTGTCCCACCCCCCACAATTCTCCCCAAAGAAAGCCTTCTTCTCCAAACAGGGTTAAATAGGAGATCTCTGTTAAACAAGGAGATTAAGTGAATTTATGGATATTGGATGCTAAGAGTCTCAGCCCTCTTACTCCATTCAATTCTACCAGATGTTTATCCTCAAGAGAGGAAATCCGAAGTGCCTTTTTCAAGGAATCTGACCAGCCCAAGAAGGCCCGACGATACTGACATCAGAGATTTTTTTTTAATCGAGGTATAATTGGCATACATTAGTTTCAGATATATGACGTAATGATTGGATATTTGTATATATTGCAAGAGAAGTGCCAACACAAGTCCAGGTAACACCCACCACCACACAGTTAGAGCATTCTTCATTATTACTGAAGCATAGTTGACATAATATATTAAGTTCAGGTGTACAACATAGTGATTCGACATTTATATATACTATGCAATGCTCACCACAGTAAGTGTAGTTGCCATCTGATGACTTTTTCTTGTGATTAAACTTTTAAGATTTCCTCTCTTAGCAACTTTCAAATGTGCAGTACAGCATTACTAAGTCTAGTTGTCATGCTGTATATCACATCTCCATGACTTTTTTATTTGATAACCGGAAGTCTGTACCTTTTGGCTCCCTTCACCCATTTTGCCCATTCCCCACCCCTGGCCCCCTGCCTGCGGGGCCACCAATCCAGAAGAGAGATTTTTGTCTGGCTTATTCACTGCTGTATCTCCAGACCCTAAAACAGTGCCTGTCACTTAGTAGGTGCTCATTAGATATTGGATGAAGGAATAAATGTTCACTGTAGATATTTTGGAATATTCAGAAAAGCACAAAGGTACATAAAAACCACTCATATTTCTACTATCCCGAAAGAGCCAGAAGGTTGTAGTTGTATCTAATGTTGATTCTCACTGGAGGAAGAGGGGTAGGTGAGAAATACATTAGTCTTCCTAACTTTATTTTTCTATGACTAGTTCCTCTTGGTTAGATGATTTCTAGAGAGATCCTAAAGCCTTGATCCTTATGTTCATGTATGTGGGAATCAGATGCTTTCTGTGGAACAGCAGAAGACATTAACATTTAATTCTGCAATGTGAATTATGACCAAGTTTACTAAGGAAAAGTATGGCTATATTATGCAACATAAAATCACAATCACAAACTCCAAAATTAAAAGACCCCAAATTAAAGAAAAAAATACAATGAACAATTAAACAACATTTCTGTGTTTTCCATAGATATTTCTTCACTACTGTTCAATGATTGTCATCTTCTAAGGTTACTAATGGGCAAGTGATATTCAGCTCCAAAGAAGAGAGGAAAAATGATGGGAGATGAGAAAATACAATTCATTAACTTAGCTTTACCTATGAATTGGGAAAAGATCGCTATTATCAATTTTAACAGCAGAACATACCTTCTTCTAGCTCAAAACTGATTTCCAAAGGAACATGTTGGAGAATCCCTGTTCCAGACAACCTTGCTCTCTTCTCTGCTTATTCTGTATATTGCTGGCAGTGTTGCAGAGCACTAGGTGATGCCAATGCTGTTGGTCTGTGGACCACACTTTGGGTAGCAAAGGTGTACAGAGACAGAACAGGAGTCCACAAAGCCTCACAGTTAAGGAAAAAGGTCTTGGAATCAAAGAGACCTGTGTTCAAATCCTAGGTCTACCCCTTTCCACTTGTATGCCCTTGGAGACATTATTTATTCTGTGTCTTACTTCTTCATCTGTAAAATGAGGATAGCAGTACCTTCTCCACAAGGTTATTGTGAGCATTGAAAGATCAAAGCCAACTGTAAAGCTCAAAGTGTGTTGAAATAAAAAAAAAATTAAAGCACTGTCTGACACATGCTAAGCTCTCAATAAATGGCAGCTGCTTTTATCAATGGTGTTATCATTATTACAAATCTGAGTTCTAGTCCTGACCTGCTACTGTATAATCTTGGGCAAATGGTTAGTCCTTCTAGGTCTTTGTTTTCTCATCCATCTAATGGGATAGTAAGAGTGCCCACCTCATGAAGTTCCTATGAGGACTGAAATGGGAGAAAATGTGTATAAAAATTGCTTAGCACAGATACTAACACCTAGAAGACACTTAGTAAAAGGTAACTGAGATGATGATGATTGCTGTAAGCCTAAATTCTAATCCTGACTCTGTGACTCCTGTTAAAAGGGAGAGAATCCTAGGATCGTGCTCAAGATCACTGTGTTGTCAGGAGGAATGAGCTACAGAAAATGAAAGTGCTTTGGAAACAAAATCCTGTAAACATTTAGGGAAGAGCATGGGAGTCAGAGAGAAATCAAACCCAAGTTTCAGTCCTGGCTGTGCTGTTACTTAATTTGCAATCTTAAGCAAATGACTTGGCTTCTTGGAGCCTCAGTTAGTTCCTCTGTACAGAAGAGCTAATAATACCTACCTCACAGGGTTGCAAAGATTAAATGACAATGTATAAAGCAGTTAGTACCTTGCCTGGCACATAGAA